GGCCCGGCTGGGGGGCGGGCGTGTGGCCACTTTTTCCCCGCGCTCAGCACCAGTTTCTTCCCTGCTGGTGAGCAGCGAGTCGGGGCTGTGTGCTGCCCCCCACCTGTACTGTGGGGTTGGGGCTCACTGGGTGTGAGCGGGCAGGAAGCCAATGGGAGCACAGGGCCCTCACCGGTGTCCCGGGGCCAGTGCCAGCAGGGCCCAGAGCAGGGTGGCAGGAGCGCGGGGGGCCAGCCGAGGGTGGCAGGAGTGTGGGGTCTCAGCTGGCAGGGGCTCTGTGGAGCTGGGCCAGCTCCCCACTCCCTGCTGGTGCAGCCCAGCCCAGCTCCACGGACCCCTGCCAGCCTACACCCCGCTCTGGGCCCCACTGGTGCTGGCCCTGGGACATTGGTCCCAAGACGGTGACAAGGGGGTGGGGCACCTGTCAAGGGGCGGAGCTACCCATGTGGCCCTCGACAGCTTGCTAAAACTGGGTAAGCGGCCCTACTCTTAAAATAATTGCCCACCCCTGTTATAGACACTTCTAAGTTTTACAGGTTTAAAATGTGATGTATTCCCTGCCCCAGTATTTATTCCCTGTACATATTGGCTATAACTCAGCACTCAGCTTTTGATGGGCTTCCAAGGTGGTGATGCAGACAGTAGAAAAATGTTTTTAGTATCTGGAAAGTTCCAGATTAGGTGCCCTTTAAAACTTAATTTGCATCCTACTGAGTCCTTACTTTAAAGGTGGCAAAGGTGACATCTGGAAATTGGGAGGCACAGGTTTCTTACCTAGTCCAATCCTTGACCAGCTCTAAGAACTTAGCCAAGTCCCTCTTTGTACCTCTGTTTCCTCTGTCCTTTGCCTGCTTCACTTTTATTTCGGTTGTAAGCTCTTTGGCTAGAGACAGACATTCAAAAAGCCTGAGCCTGAATTGATTCAGTCTTTGCAGATTAGTCTAACGTGACTAGGCTGAACTGGTTTGAAACTGAACAGACATTCTCTCTTCACTGAGGAAATTCAGACACATACCTGCATTAGCTCAGGTTTGAAGCCAGGGGGTGCTAGAAAAGCCCTCCTTTCCCTTCCCTTCGGGAGCTGAGCTGGGGTGTGGGGCAGGCCCTGGCCAGCCCCCACACTGGCCAGGCCCCAGCAGGACTCTCTCATTCGGGAGGTCTGCCTGCACCGTCCCAGGCTCTTCTCCGCTGGCTGCTGGAGGGGTGGGAGCGTTGCCAGCCCCTAACCCCCAGCTAGCACTTGAGGCAAGGGTGTGTGTGCAGTGCATGCATCTGTTGAAAAGCTCTGTATCATCAATCTCCCTCCCTGCTTCATCATATTGTCTGCAGCAAACTGACAGGCGAGCAAGCCGGCAAGCGCGGGGAGGGGGTCCGATAACAGTCTTTATCACCTGATTAGCAAAACAATAGGCTTTCTCCACATTACTTCAAACTTATTAAATAGCTTACCAGCTGACCTGTTGATTAGCTCCAAAAGCCCAAAGCAGTCACTGTTTTGTCTACCTAGCCCAGAGAAATTAGAGAGAGAAACGCACATACACCTTTCGGCATTAGCTAGCATACCACATGCTGGCTACAGTCCCTGCTGTGGCAGAGAGGAGGAAGGGATCCCTGCTTAAGCAGCAAATGGTGCAGGGGAGGGAAGTGGGGGGCATGGGGAAGCCAGCAGACCCTTCTGTGCCTGCAAATCTATGCTGAACTCCAGTCAGGGAGCAGAGGGGAGGAGCCAGCCCTGCCCAAAGAGCATGCTGGGATGCTGGAGGACTCTGATTTAATTAAAACCGGCAAGAGGTCTGTGACAGACATTGCATAAACCAGTTTGACCCAATTCAGTTAAGTCTGATACTACATTCAACCAGGTTTATCTCAAACCGGTTTTAGCCATTTTCAAACTGGCTTATGTGCACTGAACATCTGTTCTGTTACAGGTTTAAACCAGTTTCTGATCACTTGAACCGGTTTATGTGTAATGTCTGTCCCTTGCCTTTATGACAGACTTTCTCATTGTGTCTATAAAGTGCCTACTCTGATATAGCCCCAATCTCCACTAGTACGTGTAGGCACTAATGTAATAGAAAAAATAAGTACTATGAGCCAGATGTATGGTACATATATCCTTCCCCTGCTACTGTGCACTCCCACTAGCATCCAAAAATCCACTGATTGAACATGTAAATGCATGGTTCCTACTAGGCTTCTTGAAATAAGCTTCGTTGTTTTGAAGTTACCATCATATTCAATTCATTCATATCCTACAGAGATTAAGAAACATTTTTATTTTAAACTCAGTATCTAAAATATTGGGTAATATTCCTTTTAAAAGGGAATGCTCTGTGAGAGATCAGGTATTCACATCAACCAAAGAGGGATACAAAACTCTTCAGTATATTGGGCCTCTCGCCTTAATTGCTGTCCCTGTTGCTGTCAGCCCCTATGGAAGAAAATGTTCTGAGGCCATAAAAGGGCTTGAGTAGTTGGAGGCACTTCCTTTGGCATTAGCTTTCCTTGATAGACTACCAGAAATCATAAGTGGCAAAATCAGGATACGGTACAATTTTTCTTTAGTTTGTGTCTCTTTGTTTTTTTTATGTAGCAGTCTTTCTGTTTGCATTTCTTTCTCGCTTATTGGTATGAACTGTTTGGGATTAACATTTTCTCTCTAAGGTATTGAAGCTTGTCGATAAGAGGATAGTGGGAAAACAAATATTTTTATTTAAGGGTAATTTAAACTATTTTTGTTTCTAATAGTTACCATGATAAGAGCTATAAAAATAATTAAAAATATTTTGAAAATACTTGTCAAATAACCATTTTTCACAGATGCACTGCTGACTTCATCAAATATACTGAGCGATCCCTAAAAAGTGTATAATTTTCTAAACAAAAAAACAATGTACTAGAAATAACCTACATACAAGTTAATAACTGCTGTTGGAGTTTTCTTTGTTGAACAATGATAGGTTAGGATTCCTCATACTGGTGCACCTGCTGAGTACCAGTCTCCTGCTATGAACTTGTATATCATTTATTAATACTTTTATTGAAGCTGTAGTTTACCAGTACACCTTTTAAAGAAATGCAAAGCATCTTGGCCAAGGCATCATGTACAATCAGTACCACTGTTGAGTAATTTACTGTTAACAGGTAAATTTATTTTTACAGTGGACTTGGACTATAATTATATTCTGTGGGCTAAATTCTACTCGAAAGTGATTGTAAATCACGTTTTCAGTATTTTTAATTTTGTCAAACTATGTGGATATAGATTCTTTTTTGTTTTGCTGCTAATACAAGATGTGGTATGATCAGAACCCTAACCAAGTCTTAAGCATGAAAGGGTTAAGTTAGCTATAGGGAAGCTTCCTCACAGATATTTCCCCTCCATCTGCCCCCCCCCTTTTTAATGAGGTTGTATCCAACACTTCACCAGGCTTCAGGATGGGTTAACTGGCCACAGCCATAGCTAATGTAAACACTGCCCCATAGGTGAGCCAGCAGGCATTTCTCTAGAAAATGGGTAATAAAGTCACTTTGTACTATTTGTCCTCAAGCAGTACATGAAGTGGGGGCTGCAAATAGTAGTGGGGTGGCCAGTTTAAACTGGATTTTTGTTTCAAAATACAGTATAGTGTACTCCATATAATATGCAAATCACCTCTGACATTGACTTTTCTTTCTTTCTTTCTTTTAAAAATGCATGTTGATTGTTCTTTACTTCCACAAATGATCCATTGCCTATGTATATGTTTTTATGTATTTTGGTACAGTAAGGGGACCTACTAATACTGAAAGGAGTCTGTAGCCTGAGGTTACTTTTTCAGGAACTGGGATAAGAAATTCAGTATTTTGGTCAAGTTACACTGATTTACATTGATATTAAATGTGTCACCTTGCATTGAGATTTCACTTATCCTGCTTGTTTTTCATATGTGTGATATTCCTTTTGGAAATGAATGTGCATGCCTTTTGTATAAACTAATGAATTTAAAAACTGGACTTGTGAGTTTTAAACTGCTGTCTTCTCATGTATACAGTTCTCAGTAGTGCAAAAAACACTAAAGCGAACCTTTTCTGCCACATTAACCGATTGTTGAATTTGAATTTTGTAATGCAAGCCTGTGAAAATCACTTGGTAATTAAATTTTTACCTAAGAAACTCAGTACTATAGAAGATGCCCAATGGTTGGGAACTGCTGGCATTACAGCTTTACATATATAAAATCAGTTCATATGTAGGACTACATTTTAATCATATTTTGTTTAAGGGGCCCCCATTATCCTATTGTCTTTTTCACAAGTAACTTTTTCATGTTCTGT